AGTCTTACTTTTCTGTAGAAAAGAAGAATGGGGGGAGACAGGAAATATAAATATTTTCTGTATATAATGTATCTTTAAAAGAAAAAAACTGTTCCGAAATAGCTTTTTCTTTCACTCTGGAAAACAGTGGAGGTCTAGACTAGTGTTTGTGCTGAAGATGATGGGCAGGTCCAGCCCTCTTGCAGTGCTAGTGCTAATAATGCGCTGATGCTTCTCTGGGCTAGCGTTGTGATGCCAGGGCTGTGATTGCCCAAGGTCTCAACAGTCAGCTGGCTAGTGAGTAGGGGCTGCACTGACTTTGTTCCTCTGCCCAATCCCTTTTCTGGGAGAGAGCCCAGACTTCTAGCCATTACTTCCTACCTTTGTCTTGTTTCATGTTTAGCCCTCAGAACATTTAACTGTCCTGACTGACTTGTATAATCTGCAAAATAAGGCTGCCTTGGTAAAGCTTTTCTTTTCGAAGAAGTGCTGTGTATAAAAATGTTTTTCCTAGACATTGCCTAAATTAACAAGAAAAGTCCTGATCTGCAACAAGACAGAATGCTCCCCTTGAGTCTTGCTAGGCCTTATGGTGAAAATACTCTCCAGCAGCTTTAAGTGTGTAACTAAGACATATCCAATGGGATCCCCACCCGAATTTCACATTACAAAGATAAGAATTTGAATAGAAAGAAAAGGCCATTTCATTCTTGAAATCTTTTTTGCTCTTGACAAAGCATTTTCATAGTGCTCAGAACCAAACATGTTGTTAGAATAAACATTTTGCCAATTACATGTACCTTCCTGCTGGATTCATCAGAGACAACCACCCATGCTCTGATCTAGGCTCCATTCACATGTCCAGTGTGGACACACAAGACTTTTCACAGCTCACCTCCTGCCCCAGTGCTGCCTGGGTTGCCAGAGAGCCTCATGGCAGCTGGCAGCCTCCAGCAAACACATGGCCCAGATGTGCTGCCTGCCCATGGGAAGGACTGGAACCAGGAGGGGGCGGCCATTTCAGGCTGCATGCAGTGGTGGGGGAGAGGCAGAAATGATGGCTTAAAAGTGGAAGGCCGTGAACCTCAGACAAACTGAAAGTTTTCATCCGAGGGAGCATCTGAATGACATCTAGTGTTAAGTACATAACTAGAAAGAATTGGTCCTATTGGAACTGGTTTTCTGCTCGGGATGCACTGGGCAGAGCACTAGCAAAGAATCCCAGTTGCACCCTCATGGTATGCACATACCTGTTTTGATATATAAAAGTGGATAGAGGCTTAATGATCCTGGGAGCAGACCTTTTGAAAGCCGTGGGACTAGAGTGAGTCACAGCTAACTGAAATCCCATGATTTTAATGCATCTGCACTTAGGTATCCCTAATTCTGCATCCATCCCAATGGGCAAAATGCTCTCCTTTAATAATAGCCTACTGTCTGTTGAGTGAGGCTGAGTCACCTATAGTACCTACTGGAGACACGGGCTCTTTAGCCACTGCTATTACTGCACAGTATGTGCTTGAAGTAATTGAGTTTCCAGAAAAGGAATCACAATGGATTAAGATTCACTCGTCCATTTGGATGACCACTGAGATTCCTGAGAATAAGAAACCACTTGGGAGTTCTCGGATGTTCGTCATGAAGGGAAGATCCTCAGTTGGAACTGAAAAATAATGAAGAAGAAAAAATGGCTAAAAGAAGCCACTGTTTTATGCTCAGTTAGAAATTTCTATTGACATTCATCCTGGGCACAGAAGATACCCCACCTAAGCAAGATAATAAAACTAATGTTTGAGTAACAAAATTAAAGTAGTGTTTAAACTAAAATAAGTCCCACAACTTCCAGCATTCCCTGGGTAGCCATGAGACGGGTCAGAGAAGGGGAAACTCCAGCCAATTCCTTAATTCACTTCATTGTTTGTTCCCTGAGAAATCACCTGGAAAATGAAAGAGTATCATAAAGTAACATAGAAGAGAACACTTTCGGAAACTCTAATCTGTATAATTTGGAACAATATCATCAGTGTGGATTTTAATGGTCTCCGTCCAATATCACATGAGGAGACTTCCCTGTCCTCTCCACCCACCCAATATCCATCTGCCTCCTGAGGATTGCCCAACCTGCTAGAGCAAGTTTTGTGGGATGGCATGTGGGCGGCTGCCAGGGAGGGGAAGTCTTTCTCACCTGCATTGTCCACTCCATCAGTGGATAGCGTTGGAATAGTTACGGTGCAAGATGGCACTAATAGAAAGTTTGACCTAAGTGCTCTTAGGACTTTCCTACATGAGGCATTTATTGTGCATTCATCATTTCCTACTCAGGGTTGTGTGCAGGTTCTCGAGATGATGTTGTGGCCCTCCAGCTTTGCTTCTGTGTCTACTGGTGCTCTCCTGGCATGGAACAGGGAAAATGCAGCGTTTAAATGTCAAAGCGCCCCCCCCTTTTTTTTCCTTTTGTGTACTATGCTGCTAAACCACAACGCTACCTAGAAGTTATATTACAGAAAAGTAGGGAAGCAAATGCTGCTGATACGGCGCTTGGATCTCCATTCTGCAGTGAAACCACAAGAAGATCCTGTGAATTAACAACTTCTTGTTAATAAAAGTCGTCTAGAGTGCAGCTCCTCTGGATACATGTAGAGAACACCACATGTGTTACTTCACCCAGGGCTTTTATTTTTATTTATTTTTGGGGGCGCTCTGTTTCGGTTTCGGGGTGTTTAAGTGTGCCTTTCGCAACCATGCAAAGTTTGTTTTTTAAGCTTTCACTTTACTTTGTGGACTCGCTTATTCAGCTACTCCCACTAACATACGGACATCATTGCATACAAGGCAGTGTCTATTACTTATCTGGGTAATGGTGATGACAGTATTTATTTATTTATCCCCCCCTCCCGTCCCGTCCCTCAGCTGCAAATTTTCCTGGAATGAGTTACAGATAAACCATAAAAAAGGCAGTTTCTGCCCCCACGCATACGGTTTCAAAAGAAGTGGGGAGGGGAGAGGGGGTAGGTGGAGGCTTTTCATCTGGTCTGCTGGTATGGCACTCCTCAATTCCCTCAGAGCAGCCACTGGTGGTGAGGTGGTCTTATGGAGGCGGTCTTCAGTAGCATTGGCGAAATGGCCTGGTTCCCCCTCTCTGGAATAGATTTATTGTGGACATCTGGGCAGCAAATGTAGGCAAGATTGTGAGTCACATTGATCCAATTCTTTTATTTCTTGCCCATGAAGTTATACTCCCATACGCCCATGAAGGTATGTTCAGTGCTTTTTTTGTAAGAAAAATGGTGCTGGAACTCATGAAATTATTTACCTTTCGTACGTAGTCTACACACACCCACACACGTCAGTTGTGTAATGAAACATAACGGTTGCCACCCACAGTAAACACTCAGCACGTGACCATACAACCAGTCACAAGCCGAGCAGCACCACAAGCTGAGCAGCGCCATCACAACCAGCGCGGATGAAGAACGCATGAATCGGATTCAACACACAAGCAGCCCGCATGCACCATTTTAATGATTTTGCAGCTGACCTGCTACGCTCGACAGGGCGATTCAAATCCACATGGACCAAACATCAAATTTTCAAAAGTTACTTTTAAAACTTGGAAAATTTGTTGAAAAAAGGTGCTGGAACTCCATTCCGGTGCATTCTATGGCAAAAAAAGCACTGGGTATGTTTATATAATGTCACGATGCTTGCACTTTGATTTCTTTAAAATCTCTCCTCTGTGACGAGGCTTGTAAGGCTTTCACAGGGCAAGAACATGTCCAAGACATCAGCAGCAAAGCAGAAGAACTTTTGCTGCTTCCCACAAGCAGCACGATCCAGTTGCTTTGAAACGGCTTCATTTCCAAAATCAGCCAGACTTGCTCAAGTTCCTGCATCTCAGCAGCAGATCAGGCTGAAACATCCATTTCTCTTCTATAGTCCCCCCTCCTGACCCTCAGGGAACTATTGTAGGAGAGGCTTTGCTCCTCCCTCCTTCGTCATAATTTCTTTGGACAAAGGAATTTTGATCAAGGACTCCCTGTCATGCTTAGCGAGTGGGTGGGGGGAGTTCATGCAGGGATAAGAAGTTCTGTGCAAAGAAGCATGAGGTTGCTCATTCTCTTAATGAGCAAATAGCATGATCAAAAGAAGAAAAAGAATCCCGGGAGCGCATTGTTCATATAAAAATCCAGTGTGCGCATGCATTGAGTAGTATTGCTGTTTTGGGGGAATTCGTTTGATATCTTGCAGGGAGAGAGATAGAAGACTTTAGCTGAAAAATGAGAAAATGTGTTCTTTCCATTAGATTAGTTTCTTATATGTCTATATAGCTTCCTAAGGGAAGGAGGGTATTTTTCCCTCCTAAAGAACTAACATATGAATACGAAATATGGATAGAAATATGGAAGTATATTATCTGTATAATACAATTTTAGGGGATGCTAGTCTTTTTATTTCTTGCATTACTGTGGACTCTCTCTCTCTCTCTCTCTCTCTCTCTCTCTCTCTCTCTCTCTCTCTTTTCCTGTATTCCCCCTTCAGGCGTATTCCAACTCAAGCTTTTATCAGAGAGCAAGCTATGCTTTTCCCCCTTTTCATTCACTTGAACCATGCATATTCCCATTCAGATGATCCCCAAATGTGTGCATTTTGGAAACATCCTCATTTGAAATCCCAAAGAGTCGCAGCCAGTCTGCTTAGGCTACATGGAGCCAGGTGAATCCATGGTCTGTCTTGGAAGAGCCCCCTACATTCTTGTGAGCAAGGGCACCCTTTCCCAACACAATTCCCTCCATTATAACTCCCATCATCCCCAGCCAGCATTGCCATCTAGAAGGAGCCAAGCTAGGGAAGGCTAAATGTGGGCAGTATGCCTTTGCACCATAATCCAGTGAAGTCTTACTTATAGCTACCAGGCCACAGTTCCCATCTACAGGGGCCTTCAACACTCGATGCTCATTTTCCCATCCCATGGAATGAGCAGTTCTTCTTAGCTGATTAATGTACGCAATATATATTTTCAGGAGGCTCTTGGATACAGAGGATGAACTGTCAGACATCCAGTCAGATTCAGTCCCGCTGGAAGTGCGGGATTGGCTGGCTTCTACTTTCACGAGGAAAATGGGGATGATGAAAAGGAGGCCGGAGGAAAAACCGAAATTTCGAAGCATCGTGCATGCTGTACAAGCTGGGATCTTTGTAGAAAGGTGAGCTTGCTGGCTTGACGGTAGTGAATGAGTACGATTCGTATCAGCATCACTAAGCAAGGGAAGCAGTGAGCAAGAGGTAAACACTTTAAATAACAGAATTTCTAATCTCTGAATTCAAAAGGCATTCAGCAAATAAACTACAGTCTGGGTTACATCAGCCCTGAAATTTGAAAAGCCCTGGAGGCAAACTCTGAGACTTGTGCACATGTATATCCAAATATGCTGAAATTAGTGTTTTGTTTTAGTCTTGCTTTAGGCAACAGCAACAAACACAGGAAGGCTGCAGTTTACATGTACTGTACTTTCCAGGGAATAAGCCGGCAGGGGGTCAGACTTTTGAGTGGACTTGCACAGGATTGCATGGAAGGACTCCAGTGTGCCACACACGTCCCTGCTAGTGTGTCCCATAGGATGCACTGGGGGTTATTTCTGAGTAATGAAGGCACTGGCCTATCCCTTCAGGTCAAGCGAGAGATTGGGGTTCATTCTTTAGCTTAGATTTCCTATGAAAATAACCAAGGAGCAAAAAGAAATTAAAACAAGGAGTAGAGCAAATAACATGCTTAAGTAGCATCCTGAATGTTTTGCATTTCTGGGGACCTTCATTTGTTTTAGTCCTCTTTGCTTAGTCCTCTTAATTTGTTTTCATGTCCTATGATGATTTTAAGATGGCCTCAAAGTCTGATATGTGCTAAGTACATAAAAACTATGTTTATCCTTGGTTCAGTAAGGGTTACCTCCACTACCTGTGCTCTTTATGAACCATTGAAAGGAAACTATTTTAAATACAGAGAGCCAGTAAATGAAAAAAACTGATTTGACTAGATATTTGTGTATTGTTCTGTTCTGGGGAGGAAACTAAGTTGTGCTTCCTTTCCTTCCATACCTTTCCTAATTTATTGAGTCTAATTTTAAAGTTCAACAAGAACCCACAAGAACTGCTCCCAATCAATCAATCAATCAATCTCTACTAGTCCCAGGTACCACTTAATTTAATCTTCATTTCTTCTAGAATGTATCGAAGGACCTCCAGCATGGTTGGTTTGGCTTATCCTGCAGAAGTGATAGCAACCTTTAAGGTGAGAACCATTCAAGCTCTGTACATATATTTAATATATTTACTCAAAAAGGGAGAGAATTGGTTTAATGTCCCTGTACGTTCCAGGTGGTTTTGCTGGGCCTGTTCATAGGATGACATTATTCTCAGTTTCTTCCCCAGGATTGCATACAGAGGCACATGACCCCATAAAGACGTGTTGCCATGAACCATTGTCATCCCTATAACAGGCAACAGCCATTTCTTTGATGCAGCTGTAGTTGCCATAAAAGTGGGAGATTCACAGGAAAGTGTATCTACGTCGCTGTGGACTGGTGTACGCATGTTTGGCATGGAACGAATAGAAAGCAGCATTTGCCTGGGGGAATGTTTCTTAAACGTTTCCATTTTAGAAGCACAGTATACAAAGGAAGATTTTTGTACATTCACAAAAAGTGTGTGATTTTACTGCTTTTGCTCCTGTTGAGTTGCGTTCTCATTTGGGTATTATTAGAACGATAAGGCAGATCTGATCTGAACATGAATCCGCAGAGAGGCAATCATAGTTATTTTGTCAGGATTTCCTAGCAACAGGATTGGCCCGCTGTGTCTCTTTCCAGACTGGCGTTCTTGTGGGTGTAGTTGCTTCAATACAGGAAGGTTGCATTGTGAGGGTGCTTTTCTGAGAAGTAATCCCTGGTGTGATATATGAAGAAATGAAGATACATGTTCCTGGGTGGTTTCCGCCCCATGTGGGAAGCTGCTGTTTGGATTGGCCTTCCAGAGTAACCTGGGAGAAAACGGGGCAAGGGATCATGAAGGGCGAAAGGATCATGAAGTACGGGAGTTGGTGACTCCCATATCACATATTCTAACGTCAAACTCATTTGTGTTACTTAGCCAAAACAACACCACCCATGCACAAGTGGGGGGGTATCAGCAGAGTGCAGAGTGGGAGTGGAACCCCACAGTTTGCAGAAGCATGGAAATCTTTAGGAACGCCCGACATACCTACACAAACTGGCCCAGTGATGACTGTACAGGCTCAGTGGCAGGAGGGAAAATGCAGAAATGGAGGAACTGGAATGGGATAGTTTGTTTAGCTTGGGCAGTAGCACCAAGTGGGACCGTCTTCCCCCAGAGGAACATGCTCAGTCCCTGAAATCCACAGTGAGGAGGTGGATGTGAGGCTGCCTGGAGGGTGGGGACCAGAAAAAAGGGGCCTTTTCTGCAGTGTGTTCCCCAAAATGGGATGCTCTCTCCAGGGCAGCCCACTTGACACCAGTCAGACAAGGATTTTTCTCTTCTCTGGAGTGTTTGAATAGTTTTAAGGGTCTGGCTTTGGTGGTTAGTTCCATTGGTATTTACTATGCTGAATGGCGGTTGGGTTTTGGCAATTTGGAGATGGATGTTTTTAGTATGAGTTTAATGAATATATGATGACACATTACAGCCTTCACCAACCTAGTGCCTTTTGAATGTTCTGGATACAGCTTCTATCAGCCCCAGCCATCATAGCCCATCAAGAATCTTGGGAGTTGTGGTCTCAAATGTCTGAAGGGCACCAGGGCAGAACAGGTTATTGTACTGTATTCTTTGAGGTTTTTTCCATTTTTAAAAAAATCTCTTCAGGACTCTTTCCAGGTGTATGAAGTGATCTGCACTGAATAAACTAAGGAACTGAAGCGGCTTTAAGTAAATCATTATGTAAATGCAAGTAGTTAGGATGGATCTGTCTATAGCTTTACCATCACATTAACATTAATTGGTCCTCTACAACACTTTAAAAGCACTCGTTGGTTTCCTATAATACAGTTTATTCATTTTTAGCATTATCTATCTTCCACTCTTGGAGGGGTATGAAAATCCTTCAATCTCTTCTCCCTTACTGTTTACAGGATGTTGATAAATGGTCATTTGATGTTTTTGCTTTAAATGAAGCGAGTGGAGGCCACAGCCTGAAATTTATGATGTATGAATTGTTTACCAGATATGATCTATTGAGCCGTTTCAAGGTAAGAAAAGTTCTCTAAAAGAACATATCCAAAAACAAAAACAAAAACAAAAACCCTGAGGAATACTAGATGTTATTTGCTTCCTAAATAATTTTTGCGAGCTCGTGCCTCTTGTCACTGAATACAGTGAAGTGCAACTTTCTTGTCTCTTGTGAGAAGGGGCAGCTGGTAGCCACATGTGAGGAAAGGAACAAATGGCAGGGCTGTAGGGGAGGAGAGCAAGCGAAATACATAGGAATGCCCTACGACAATGATGGTGAACCTTATAGAGACCGAGTGCCCAAAGTGCAACCCAAAACCCACTTATTTATTGCAAAGTGTCAACACTACAATAAAACCTGAAAACTGCAGTTTTAATTTGCAAAAAACAATGCACAGCCAGTCCAACCAAATACAGTGGTACCTCGGCTCACAAACACCTCACTTCACAACCAAATCGGGTTGCGAACTCCACATTGGTTGGCGATTGCGGCCATCTCCCCTCACCCCCAAGTGGGGAGATGGCCAAGATCGCGCCCGTCTTTCCTGCACAAGCGCAACGGCGATTGCGCCAATCTCCCCTCCCGAGCGCGCCCATGATCGCAGCTGTCTCCCCTCTGAGCACACCCACGATCGTGCCCATGCAGGGATGACTGGCACGATTGCAGTCGTGCTGGGAGCAGGAGAGGGCTGCACTCATGCTTGGGGTGGTGGGGGAGATGACCACAGTCTGTGTTGTTCTTTGTCACTTTGCTTCAAATTTTTCTGATTAAAAAAATAGTTACAGAATGGATTGACCTTATTTACACTGAACCTTATGGGGAAATTTGACTTGGCCCACAACCAATTTGGGTCACAACTAGAGTCCTGAAACGGATTAAGTTTGTGAGCCAAGGTACCACAGGGTGTGTGTGTGTGTGTGTGTGTGTGTGTATCTCCTTGGCTGCAGACTGACCAGCCATGTGAAAGCTTGGACAAGTCACAGCTAAAGAGTGACAGCTCGTGATGCCACTGCCTGGTGCCACTACTCCTTTCCAAGCACGCACATGGCCCCTATGTGCGCTGCTACCCGATGCTCAGCTGCTGGGGCGATGCTGGCACGACTTGGCTCACATGCCGACAGAGAGGGTGCTGCGTGCCTGCTGTGGCATGCGTGCCATAGGCTCGCCACCACTGCCCCAACCCTAATATAGGGGTAAAATACTATTGAAAGGGGTGATTTTGAAAAAGCCTTCCTGGAGTAGATTTTTCTGGACTGCTCATCTTTTCTGCCCATTCTAAGCACATCTCAACCATCAAAATCATTCCAGGACACCTCATTTTTCTAACCCTAACCCTGCCCTGGTGCACACCCCTAACCCTAATACAAGGCTAAAGTTCAAGTGAAAAGAGGGTGATTTTGAAAAAGCCTTCCTTGAATAGCTTTTTCTGCACAGCTCTTGATTTCTGCCCATTCTAAACATAATAAAACCTGAAAACTGAGGTTTTAGTTTAGAAAAAACACCTCACATCCAGTCCCAGCATGCATATCTCTCTCTCTCTCTCTCTCTCTCTCCCCCTTTGGCAGCGCATTGACCAGACATGCAAAAGCTTGGACAAGTCGTGACTAATGAATCATGGCTTGTGACATCACCATCTGGTGCCGCTACTCCTTTCTGAGCATGCGCATGGCCCCTAAGTGCGCTGTTATCCGATGCTCGGCTGCTGGGGCGATGGTGCGGCGACCTGGCTTGCGTGCTGACAGAGAGGGCTCTGCGTGCCCGCTGTGGCACGTGTGCCATAGGTTTGTCACCACTGCCCTAAGGGGTCGCATCCAGTGGCCCACCTGCTGGGTGCTCTGACTCACGTGCCTCAGGCTAGAGGCTGACCATACCATTCAGCAAAAAAGACCATACTAGCACAAGTCAACAAATAGGCCCAGTGATATGAAGGAAGGTCAAGGAGAACAAATCCACCCTATTCGGTTGAAAGTTGCATCTTTTTGAAACATATTCATTGTGGAGTAGACATGTGCAAAGCACTAAACTTCTGAAAATACTTGTCAACTATAAATAGAGGAATACCATGTAAATAATTCAAATTTATTACTTATGTGGGAGTTCTTGTCCCAAGAGACATACCACAAATGATGAAGTTACATTGGAGTAAGTTGGTCAATGAGATAAACACGGTGCATTAACAGATGGGCATATAAAAGGCTAAGTTTGTGGGGTAGGGGAAATACAGTTAAAATGAATGTACTATGTAGCTGAATGAAGTGAGCCACTTTGCTAGCTCCCCGCACAAGCCTAGCTTAGCATATGAACGTAGGAGGGATGGACACTGGTTATTTGGAAATATTCTGAGATGATTGTGCTCCCATCCTTGATCACTGCAGGGGCAGCAAGCTTGTTTCTAAGCATTACGGCATCCTTGCCCTATTTTACCGGTGGTGTTTGGAAGCGGGCACAGCAAAATGAGCAGGCATGCCCTCCTTGCAGACCACACACCTGTCTACTTTGTTTCTGATGCTTGCTTCCTGCAGATCCCTGTTCCAAGCCTGATTTCATTCGGGGAAGCTTTGGAAATTGGCTACAGCAAATACAGGAACCCTTACCACAACTTAACCCATGCAGCCGACGTCACCCACACTGTGCACTGCATCATGCTTCTTACTGGCATCATGGTAAGAGACACGTCGAGCCTAGATGGACCTGGTGGATACCCAGCCAAAGCAGGCCCCCACCACGATTATTGTGCGGCTCTGTCCTGGCTTTCTCCCTTTTGCAAGGAGCCCAAGGCAGCTCACACATTTTCCTTCCTCTCCATTTTATCCTCACAACAACCCTGTGAGGTGTGTTAGGCTAGGAGTTTGCGACTGGCCTGAAGGGTTGCTTTCTGTGTCCATTCCCACTTCGCTAGTGCAGGGGCTAAAGCAGCCTTCCGCAACCCAGTGGCCTCCAGATGCGTTGGACCGCAGTCACCAGCCTTCAGCCACCTCCTCCTGGTTGAGCTAGGCTGGAGGTTACCATCCAATGCCTCTGGAGGACACCAGCTTGCAGAAGGCTGGGGTCTAAGATAGATTTCATGTTTGTGAAAGAAGACCAGGATTGTGCAAGACGTGCTGAAGCTGTGCTGGTGTCACGTTTACCCAGAGAGGAACTGTTTGCACTGCATATGATGGGTTTTTGTCTTTGTCGACTAGCACTGGCTCACTGAACTGGAAATACTAGCAATGATCTTCGCGGCTGCAGTTCATGACTATGAGCATACTGGGACTACAAACAACTTCCACATTCAGACCAGGTAGGCCTCTCCTGTATGAGTTACATGCCCTGAAAGAGGGAAGAAGAAAATCTTCAGTGCAGGGGTGGGCAGGCTGCAATTACTGCATTTCCTGATGGCAAACTCCCGTGCCCAAAGTGATACCATGCAGGAGCTTCCAGGAAGCAAACGGGGCGGAGGGAGAGAAGAAGCAGAAGGGAGGCAACATGCATCCCACACCCATGGAGATCCTTCAGTCTGTACAGAAGTGAAAGAGAACATTTTCAATATTTAAATTTTTCTGTACAGGGTTGCCAGTCCTTGCAGTTGCTACTCGAGCACAGAGTTTATCTGTTTCTCATATGTATTTCACACCCTTCCTCTAAGGAACCATACATCTTGTCCTTACAAAGCTTCTGTATAGCCTGAAGTGCCTGATCCTGCCTAATCTTGGAAGCTAAGCAGGGTCAGGCCTGGTTAGAATCTAGATGGGTGACTTGAATGTATGATTCTATTATTATTATTGTTGTAAACTGCCCAGAAAAGTTCAACTATGGGCAAACTAAAGTCCAGTATTCTTGCTGCTTCATTCTACTGGCTTTATACAGATGCTTCTAACATGGTGGGGCAGCTTGTAGCCTTTAAGCCTCCTGACCACCTCCTGCCACACTTGCTATGGCCAGCTGGATTCTAACTGTGATGCGCTTTGCACAGCAGGTTGGAGAGGAGGTTGTACAGGGCTCCTGGGGGCTGCCTGTCCTACGGTCTCAAAACGCTAGAGGGATGGTCATTTGGCAATGCACTGGTCATTGTACCTCTGTATTCATATCTAAGGACCCTGCTTTAGAAGAGTTAAAATCACAATGCCACCTTTGTATTTCACATCTGAAAGCAATACAAAAAGGATGAGTGTCCACATAGGTGGAAACACACATAAGCTGTGTGTGTGAGGTGAGGATTCAGTAGTGCTGAATTCCGTTGAACAGCCTTTTCTATCCAGGTGAGCCTTAGCATTGTTGGAATACAAGTTCTGGGAGCCATGCTGCCTTGGACTGATGAGGGTAGGAGCAACACCCTCTGGAAGCTCGAGCCCCACTTACTAATATAACATTGACACGGACACCAAGAAATCACTCTGCTTCCTGGGAGCAAAGATGGTTTTTTGCCATTGCAGTGAAGGCCCATGGCTTAGTTGGGGGATTTCATCTATTTAAAGTAGAAATGATGGGGATTCTTTCCTGTTACTGCAATCTGGATCCTTCCTGTAAAGAGGATTCGATTTTCCCCATCCATCATACTGCTTGTCCTGCATTCTGTTTTGGGCCACTCTCTTACCACATAAGTTACTCAGAAATAAAACTTTCAGTGCTCATAATGTGTATTATTTATCCAGTGTTGCATCTGCTCCTATGGTGACCATGTCGAGCAATTGCTTGCAAGCTGTAGCTAAAAATAACTTTTAACCACTCAGTCCAGGAATTCCAAATTTAAACCACGTTTCTATTTTCATCCGGTTTGGAGTTTCCATAAAAATGGAAGGTTTTTTTCTTTTCTTTTGCTTTTTTTCCATTCAGACTTGAGCAACAAAAATAAAACAGAGTAAGCTCTACTGTAGTGGCACTTCTCACCCTTCTTTTGATTCCCACATATGGTGGATTGTGACGGTGATGTGGTGGAAGTGTCCAGAGGTGGTAGAATGGATTGGACCGTTTTGCACTGCTGGAGGAAGGGCATGACAATGTTGAACATTTTGCTGCCCCACACCCAAGGCCTTGTAATTCTGTCTGCAATTATAGCGACGTATCTAACTTAATGCAGAAAGGTTAATCTCTATATATTTATCTTGATAAATATCACAGCAGGGAAACAGCTAGAATAGATGATGTCCATTTAGCAGACTAATAGGTTTTATTTGAAGGAAATGTTATGCATGATGGAGCAATCAAAATGGCATCCCTCACTTTGACCACTTCAGGATTTGTCCACTAATTCTGCTGCATATCCGAGCCATGCTTGCACTCTTGCAAGTACCTCAGTATATGCATTGCTGCTGATATATCTGTGATCTTGGAACGCCCCCTGCAGACCTGATGTACTCTCAGGTCCAAAGGAAGGGTTCCCCCCAATGCGCTGGGCTTATTGCCCTGGATGAATGGAAATTGTGCCCATTTTGCTGCCTGAAGCACCTGCTTCGTCATACTTCATGGTAAGGTTGTCCCTAATTCATGGAGTCACCACTGCCCCAAATGTCTTGCAGCAACATCTGGAAAAGTAAGCCCTCTACAGAATACAGATTCTTCTCTTGTATCTCTTGTATCCCTCCCAGAATACAGTGTCCTCCTCTTGCCTTTGAACTTAACAAAGAGATAAACCCACAATGATGCTTGGAACTTTAGCATATTATTCTACTCTCCGCATTTAGGTCAGAGGTTGCAATTTTGTACAACGATCGCTCTGTTCTTGAAAACCACCATGTAAGTGCTGCCTATAAGATTATGCAAGAAGAAGAAATGAATATCCTGGTGAACCTAACCAAAGACGAATGGAGGTAGGCCTGGTAGATATGCTTGTTAAGAATGACTTATTAAGAATGGCATTGGCCCAGGTTATATCTGGGCAACCACAACACAATTCCCTGTTGGCTGGCTACAGTGTCACAGACATAATGGAATAAGTTGCCCTTGTGAGTCTGTTATGGCAGATTTTTCGGAAGGCCATGCAGACTTGTTTTCTCTGCTCTCCCCTGCCAGATCTGTTGTAGTTTGTAGCCTCAATTTTGCTGTGAATTGTCTTGGGCAGGTGCTTTGCTGCTGGTGTTAATTGTTTTTTGGGTGGGGCTGTTTGCTGTTTTACCACTGTAACAGTTTTACCAGATGGGCTTTTATTCTTCTAAGTAGCCTTCAGAGAACTCCTGTCCTGAAAGGCAGCCTAGAAATATTTTAAATGGATAAAATGGGTGGAATCTCCCATCATGTGGTTTGCCCTTGCTGTTTAAAGAGAAAAGACTGAGAAAGATCTTAGGGTGGCCCGTGCCCTCTTTTACCAGGAACAGTCCTCTCTTTGAAACTGTCTTCTATCTGAAGGCAACCTCCATTTGAAAGATGCCCTATCAAGTGCCAGCTTACAGATGAAAAAATGTAAGAATGGTTGGTTTTTAAAAATGAACACCTGGGCTGCAGACTGGACAGTCAGGTACTCAGGTCATCTGCTCACAGTCTTCTACATTATCTACTGTAGATATTCTGCATTTCTACTTAAATTATGATAGATCTTTTTAAATTTGCAGCCATAATATCAGTTAGGGTGTGCAAATTTTATGCACTGTCCTCTTCTGGGATATTCATGTCCACTCTTTTGGCGATTTGTAAGCGACCACCTCCGCCCTTGCCTTGGCTATCCATGACTATCACTTGACTTGAGACAGGCGGGAGGAGGCGACATGGGCGGCACACCCACCTCCCAGCCCACCTGTTTCAGATGGCAGGATGCAGAAGGCGTTTTCTCTCGCCCTGTGCCCTCTGCACAACCAGCATATGAGCTCTTTCCCTTTCCCAGGGTGTCAGAGGAATCAGCTGGGACTGGGAAACTGTTTGATAGGAATGCTCAGAAGGAATGTGTCAGTTTCTAGCCTCCAGCTGGCCAGGCAATGCAGGAATTTCCCCTTCCACAGGCTAACAGGGCGACCCATTGTCATTTAGGCAGAGGTAAGAGGGCCCAAGGGCCCATCACTGGAAACCCACCGGAGTTAAGAGGAACTTGAAATCACTGCTGGAAGGCAACCAGTTCTTTGACCTTTAGATTGCAGATTTGTCCTCGAGCCGGAGGTGCACCAGCTTTCAGCAGAGCAGCTCCTTTCATTCCTAACTGTGACTGCCATTAGGAACAGGAGATTCTGCACCTTGATTCATCTTCAGCCACAAAGGCACAGGATTTTAAAAATCTCTGCTAAAAATGATACTGACAGCCTTAATGTGGGAGCTCTCATTGCAGGTTGATCAAAGCTCCCTGCGCCTCAAGAAAGCCCAGCAAGAGGATGGTTATTTCCGATGCTCAATCAGAGAAAAGCAGCATGGAGGACAGGAAGCAGCCAAGGGAGCATCAGGCATGCTGCAGTTAGACTGCCCTCACCCTCTGCCTGGCCAGTGGGCATAAGAGCCAGAGAGCCCGGGGCTGACTTAATAATAATAAGAAGAAGAAGAAGTAGTAATAGCAGTTGTAAAGTGCAGTCACTTTGGGCTGGGCATCCACAAGCACTCAGATCCCCCTCTGCTCACAACTGCTACAGAAGGAGCCACACTGGTCACTTCCCCAGGCCCTATGAGTGACCTCCTAAAAGGGGTAAAGAGGGTGTTCTGGGTGATGGGGGGGCTGGCAGGATGTGCATATTCTGATAATCCTGCAGCCTCCTTCCCTTTCAGCTCAAAGTTCTGTGATAGATGTCCAAAATCAGCTATCCAGCTTGGAGGTTTATGGGTGTCTCCACTGGATTGTGCCCTAAGCCATTTCAAGGACTCTAGGCTCCACTAACGAAATAATCTACTAAATAATAAATAATCTGGTAGATAAACCAATGAATGACAGTGGAAGAGATGGAACTGGAAAATAAATGCGTTGAGTTTCCCCAGAGAAAGCATTTTCGGTCAGCAAAAGGTTGTAAAACTAGACAAAGAGGTGCACCCCCAGCACTCGTTGTGACCTCAAGGGGTGTGAAGCACAGCACTGCTCTTTGCCCTGCTGCTTTGCATGAAGGGCAGAGAGAGATGCATTTTCTACCTACTGGCCTTTCTAGCACAGGTCCATCACACAGAGTTAGTTGTCACGCAGTCTCATTTTCCTTGAAACTTGTAAAGGCCGAAGAACATATGAAAACCCATGCTGATCAGACCAAAGGCCCGTCTAGTCCAGCACTCCACACACAGAGTGGCAAAAAATGTGTGGGAAAAATGATCTTCTGTGTGGGGAAAATGGCGCTCTGAAAACAACCCCAACAGCTAAAGGCTGAAGTCACATGTCCTAGAATATGCTCCTTTTCCAGGATGTGGTGAGTGAGTGTTGGGAGCTTTCCAGTTAATAATAATTTGAGGTGCTTTTTATTTTAATGTTATTTCTGTTTGGTTTTGTACCAGGAGAGAAATTAATTGGTGCTTTGCCTTCAAAGCATCTCATTAAGGAACAGCATATAATGGTAAATTAGTAACTTTGATTGCCTGCAGGGAGCTGCGCAATTTAGTCATTGAGATGGTCTTATCTACTGATATGTCGGGTCACTTCCAGCAGATCAAAACAATGAGACACACGCTTCAGCAGACAGAGGGGTAAGTGTTTTCCTGCCTCGCATTCTTTCTTTTATGATGCCGCATGGGTGTTGGATTTCCATCAGCCCAAGGGCCATATTCCATTTCAAGGAGACTCTCAAGGGCTGGGTTCCAGGGGTGGATGGATCCAAAATACCTAAAAAAATACAACCCAGCATATTTTAGCTCAAAACTCTTCTTGCTATAATCTAAGCTGCAGGAAGAGCATTCTAATGTTTTAGAATGAGGGAAAATGTCACAAAAGCCAGGATATCACCAAATGATTGGTGTTCAGGGGGAAAAAGATGGGGTATAATCATCTGTGAAATCCCAAAGGGCCAGATTAGGGTTCTTGGGCCACATCTGTGCCCCTATTGTATATAGCGAAAGCAGTGCTGCTGTTCTTGACAATGTCTTGCTGTTGCTCTGAGATAATGAGAGAATATCTTTGAATGGACAGGATAGACAAAGCCAGAGCCATGTCCCTGATTTTACACGCAGCCGACATAAGTCATCCATCAAAGACCTGGGAACTGCACTATCGATGGACAAAGGCATTAATGGAAGAATTTTTTCGACAGGTAAAAGCCTTTCCCTCAATTTGTACATAAAGACCTTGCAAGCCAGGACAAGCACAGCCGGGCATTTTGTGTAGCTACCTGATAGTCCTTTATTTTAACCTTTTAAAAAATCTCATCTTTCAACTAAAATAAAGTGGCAGAAGTGCCTTAGAAATGATACAGTGCTGATGCAGTAATTAACAGTAACAAAACTAAATCAATCAAACAGCAAGAACTGGGTAAAAGAGGCACTAGGGATGAAATGTAAAGTGCACACTGCATTGGTTATAAAAAAATCGTACATAAACTAAATGTTCCTTCTCTGTCACTTCCCCAATGTGTCTGGGGTCCGGTGAACCTCCCTGGGGAAGCATTTCACACATGATCTCAAAAAGCACAAAGGCTTTGCCTCCAAGTACCACCCACTGCACCTCTGATGGCAGATGGGAGGCAACCAGAAAAGTGCTTTGGATGGACTTCTGATTCCACAGCACCTGACAAGAATAGTTCTTTTTAATTCTGGAATTTTTAGGAGCTGCCAAAAAAGCACCTTGCATATCTCCAAATCATCAGACAAAGTCATCTAGTTTGTTTTAGAACTATGTACATTAAAAAAAACTAGAATAAGGGGACAAAAAAAGGCTCAGTTTGAATATAATAATCTTTACTTAATAAAGCATAGTTTATTAAGCTGGAAATGAGCAGCAGGACAGCATGTTTCCTGCTGCTCCTCCCTTTATTTACCAGCTTGGTTTCTTTAAACCACAAGTACCTGTTATATCTGAAATAAGAATCCATGGTTAAATGTCAGTTTGTTTGATTCCGAAAGCAGAATCAAATCCTGGCTTCAGATCTTTACTAAACTTAGATTAAACCACAACTGCATTTCACAGTGAATGGAAAACTGTGGATTAAAGCAAACACAATTGACGCAGAGAAGGCAGTGCATGAGGGAGAAGGAATCAAAGGGTCATGCAGACTTGAGATGAAGGGAAAATAGAACAAGATTTCTTTTAAACATTCTTAGCTTCAGTTAGCTTGAATAGCCTTCCTCAGCCAGGTGCCCTTCAGAAATGTTGGACTGCAGTCTAATAATGCATTGGGGAATGATGAGCTCAAGACGTGTGTGAGAAATCGGGCTGGTGGGTGGGAAACCATGCCCAGAACTGCTTAGCTAATAGCCCAGTCCAGCAAACAGGATTTCAAATGTGCTGCAGCTAAAGACAGAATTTTAGGAGGTGGAGTGAGAATGTGGATTAATTCATACACCAGGGACATAAAAGTGATTTACAGGGGCCGGATCATGCCTTATTATGCTAAACTTGTGACTAGACGTTGTCCAAAAAACCAGTTTGTGATTATTACAGCCCAATTCAAGCATTCAGGACCTGCTTCAGTTGTAATAAGAGCATTTGGTGGTGCATCATGGGTTAATTAGCCCACCAATTGTGGGAACTTGCACTGTTCCTAAGCTGCATGCAAGCCACTTCCTGCTTTTATTCATAGCCCTTGAATGCTGCCTTCCATGGTTGTTTCTCTGATGTCCTAGCAGGGGGCTTGGGGTTGCTCATGGCTTAACTTGGGGTTGTTTAACCCACAATCAATCCCAAGATTCCTATTAGGACATCATGGACACAACCCACAAATGCAGCATTCAAGGACTGTTAATAGAAACAGGAAATGACTTGTGCAAAGCTCAACATGTCCTTGCGCTTAATTAGCCCATGATTTGCCACTGGACCATGTGGTTACGCACAGACTCTCCTCAGTCCAGAGTATCATGATTGCAGCAGAAAGTTTTGCCCACAAGAAAGGGGGTACAATCCTTTAAAAATGCTTTCTTTATTTGCTGTGCCAAAGAATTGATCAGCTGGGTCACTTCTTGGAGAGGAGATACATGGAGTCCGGCCACCTCACCTCCTTCCCCCTCTGATCACACCTTCCAGCTGGGCAGCATGTTACAAACCAGGGACACTGAACACACTTACTTGGCCGTGGAGATAGCAGAAATGCAAGAATGTAAGAATTACCCTGATGAAGAGTAGTGTAGTAGTAAAACTATAGTAGTAGATTTGGTGCAGTAGTAAGGTAGGATATAAATTCAATGTAGTAGTAGTAATAGCAGTAGTAAAGTGCAGTCACTCACCACAGCAACACTCCTAGCTATGCCTCTAGGGGAAGTTGGAAAAAACAGACAGTTGTATCCACCCGAATCAAGAAGCCAGTTCTGGCGGTTTTCCCTCCACTAGGAACAGTTGCTTGTAAAGTGTGTGGGCCTTCATCGCCAGTTCAAGACAAAGCCCCTAAAATGCTTGGCATTACAAGCATCTGGCTGCCTCATGACCAGGAACAGTCCTTTTCTCCAGCTGCTGCGAGGACTGCAGCTATGCCCCAAAGGGAGCAAGAGCCGCTGCGGCAGCACCCCGTGAACCGTGGGCGCTACTGCAAGGCTGCTGGGGCATCAGAGTACCGAGTCACTTATTCCAGGCTTTGGTTTCCAGCAGCGTGTAGCAAAATGCCTCCGGGTGGCCCCCAGCACTAACTGAGATCATTCCCCTATGTTTTGACCCCAGCACCTCACAATCAAAATTACACCACCTTTGGCCATGGCTGGCTAGTACCTCTGGGTCGGTTCCCCCTCCCTCTCAGCAGCCACATCTAAATTAGCTTCTCATGAATACATTATTAATGTATTATTTACTTACTAATTTTTAAAATCCCCTCGGCACATTGCTCTCGGGACAGTTTACAAATAGCTAGCCATTAAAGCGGCATAACGGCAACCGCAACCCTCCACTCAGTTGTGTGACTCACCGGAGGAACATCATTGAACCTCGATAAGGTTCCAGCCTGTGCATGTCCACGGCTGAGAAGCCTCGCACTCGGGTGGTTCCCCTTCCCAGCGGCGGCAGATGCTGCTCAGGAGCTCCACTGCAGCAGGAAGGAAGGAGTTCAGTGCAGAAATGTGGGTGGGCCAAAGGTTGTTTTCTTCCTTCTGTCCTTCCAGAAATGTATTTCCTGCAGCTTGATGTACTTCAATAGCTGGGCGGGTATCCAGGTGCAGTCCATGAATTCTCACTTTGTTCTCCTTTGTTTATGTCAACTTATCCTTTTCACTGTGTGTCTTTTTCCCCTGACTTAGGGAGACAAAGAGGCAGAACTGGGCCTCCCTTTTTCTCCTCTCTGTGACCGCAAATCCACCATGGTGGCGCAGTCTCAAATAGGTAACGTCTGACTATTATGATTGTCGTTTTCATATTCATGCTAATAGAAAGCAGCAGGTCATTATCAAACAGGAATGGGCAACTTTTAAAGGCTGATGGATCATTGGCTTCAGGACCATTCCATTATTCACACCTGCCGATGGAGGAAGACTGTCATAACATCTGGAAGAAATGCGGATGGGGTCTTCTCCTTTTAAAAATTGGGGACTCTGAGGAGAGTTAGAGGTTTGGGGAAATATGAGAATAAAGCTATAAAGACAAAGACAGGTTGGGCACGGTAGGAGAAGCCTGCATGATATTTGTCCCGAGAGTCTGATCTGAAAGCACATGGAGCAAACGATTTGATCAAAGCAGGTCAAGGGCTGGTTGTGGTTTCGATGCAAGACCACAAAGGAAGGGATATAAGTCACCCTTATGTCCCCTGTGAAAAGTCAGAATATGGACGTTATTGTAACAGTGCGTTAGTAGGCTTATGAAGGAAATCTCCCACAGATGCTCAGGGCTATGGAGAGGTGCGTGGAGGGTGTAGGCCTTGGGAAATGTATTCAGGACTGAGCAACACCTGTGCCACTGATGAAGGAGCCATCCTCCATGACAAGGATGGGCAGCTTGTGGCTCGTTGGATGCTTTGGTCTACAGCTCCCATGATCCCTCATCATTGCTTATGCTGAATGATGCTGGTGGGAGTTGTTGGCCAAAATACCTGGAGAGGCACAAGTTGTCCATTCTTGATCCATTGTGAAAATAGGGATGTCACATTAAAGGTTTCCCAGCTCCAGTCAGTTGCTATGTGTCTGGTGCTGGGGGAGTTCCAGCATATCTCTGGCCCCTGATGGCAGGCAGATGTTTGGCTGGCTGTGGTAAATCGGTGATAACAGAGGCACACCATTAACATGCCTAAATACGTCCTTCTCTAGAACAGCCTTCCCCAACCAGGTGCCCTCCAGATGTTTTGGTTTTCAAGTGCCATCATCTCTGACCATTGGCCTGCTGGTCATGCTACAAAACTTCCGAAAGGCCCAGGTGAAGGAAGTCTGCTATAGAGGGATCTTGTTCCTGCTAATATTTTCTCAGTTATGGACAAGGGTGATACAAATTCTCAGGTCCATGTCATCACATCCCATCTCAAAACATTAATGGCGTTTCCCATTCAGTAAGGGCTCCACTCCTCTTCCATTGCAGCTTTTCTTTTCAGCTTTATAGGAGCTCTCCATGGTGCTGAAACCCATCCTGAGAACAGGTTCACCACCATGGAGAGTTCCTAAAAAGCAGAGAAGAAAAGCCACAATGGATGAGGACCCCCCCCGCCTCTGACACAGGGGCCACCACCTCCCCGCCCATTCCAAGAATGCCCTTCTCTCTCCCTGCCCACACGCCTGCCAATAGTGCCTGATGCGTTTATTTAACATGTCAAGAAGCTGTGAAATCCGTCACTCTTCGATGTACTATCAGATTTTTGCCTGCTTAGTTCTCGGCGGGGGATCATACTTTGTACTCCGCATAATTTCTTGCCTTGGCAAGCATTTGCGAGGGTGTGCGTGTGGGGAACAGAGGAAGGCATTGTTCAGTACTGACACCTCAGAACCGTGGGCTGAATTCTCTCTCCAAGGGACAGCGCTTGTTCCACTCACTGATTCGACAGAACCCTGCTTAACGTGTTGTGAAAGAACACACTTGCCCAGATGGAATCAGAAGCAGTGATTTCGAGTAACAGCTCAGTCACAGAAAGAGGGGCCTAATAGGCTGGTCGCATGCTGCTGTTGCATGCATGGCTTCTTCCTTTAAAGGAGGGAATGGCACTGAGCTCCCTTTTGTGCCCACAAGTGGACATCCAGAGCAGTGCCGACGCTTCCTTCCAGGCAGAGGCCACATTTGCAACCTTAGCTTCATGAATTTGGATGAGTCCTCACCTTTGTAGGGAAGCCCACTTCACAAGGATCTCTGAGAGCCTGAGGCTGCGATCTTACACATCAGGGTGGTCATCTTATAGCCTTCCAGATGTTGTTGATCATTTCCCATCATTGGCTGTGCTGACCAGGACTGATGAGAGTTGTAGTCCATTAACATTTGCAGGGCTACAAGTTGCTCAGTGCTGCTATGTAGAAACACTTCAATAGGTGTAAGTGAAATCGGGGCTGGGGGGGTGTTACTTCTGAGTAAAGATGCAAACCAGTTTGGACTTCTTGGAATAAAGCTGAAAAAGGAAAGTAACAAGTAGATAAAATGAGTATTGATCATTGTTTTCTACTAATCAATATATCAGTGGCTTTCTTCTTTCCTCTAGTTATTCAGTGTGTCTTGAAGAGAGGACTAATAGAATAATGACTTGATTAACCAGTGAAATCTTTAACTATGAAAGGGGCAACTTTTCATATCCCTGATTTCAATTTGTGGGTTCATATGAAAATTAAGAAATACAATTAGTGGCGTGCAGATCTTGCTTCCCAGATTGTCAGCTGTCTTTTGTACCATCATCAGTGCATTAATCGAACTACATTTCGCTGCACAAGCATTTTGCACAAGTCTTCCCCAAAAGTTAAAAAACAGCCAGAAAGTCTGAGGAATCCACACAGCTTGGAAAAAGCCAAGCTGAAGTCACAGAAATCTGACCTCATTAGAATCCACTGTGGATTTCTCCAACATCCCTAAATACAATAAACCTTGCACCTATAGTGTATTGGATTTAGGCTGTGATACGTTCATAACTTGTATTTTAATGCACATCTGTCTTGATCGGCATGGACCCTGAGCTGGAAAGCAACAGAAACCGCCCCCCACAACCTCATGATGGATACTGGGTGGTGTAACTAGTTGTTATGCACATTTCTGTGCCATTCTGGCATTGGTGGTTAAGAGTGCTGAACTGGGGATCTGAGAGATCTGGGTTCCAGCCCCCACCAGGCCATGTAGCTCACTGGATGCCTTTGGGCCAGTCACTCACTATTGACCTGACCTACCTCACAGGGTTGTTGTTAGGATAAAATTGTATGGAGGACTATGTAAGCCACCTTGGTTTCCTCACAAAAGGAAAAAAGTGGGTTTAATGCATTGCAATGAACAATAATCATTTATCTGTACAGAGAGCTGGTGAGCATAGTTGCTAAGCCATTAAGGAACTGACTACACCTAATGTTACATATGAGTTTGGCTTTGTGTTTGCCCTTTGTAACTGTCAAAAGTTTCTGAGACGGCTGCATCCATATCTGGAGTACGGTCTATAAAAGGCACAGTGCCCTCTCCGTGCAGCAGGTTTTGATCAGCAATCCAGCCCTGCCCTCCCCTCGCACTGTGTTCGTTTGAAAAGATGAATGTGCCAAACCGCTCATCTAACATTATTATTATTATTATTATTATTATTATTATTATTATTATTATTATTATTATTATTATAGCATTTCTATGCCTAATAATAATAGGCATAGAAATTCCAGCCTAATTTGACCCAGACCTATGAATAATCCTTCATCCGATTGGGCAGACCTGTCCGTATCTATTCAGATGCCAGTTCAACCAAATTCAATAAATCTTATTCCCAGGATGATAGGATTGCAGCCTGAATCTCACCTGTACCATGAAGTAGGTAACCCTCCTTTATGGGGTTGCTGTAGGAATCACACCAAACTAGCAAGGGTGAAGGCATCACTTCCCTCCCCCCTTTTGTGTGTGTGTGGTGCCTTCTGAAATTATAAGACTGTGGGCAAGTACTGCTTTCATGGATCGTGGACATGGATTGGTGTATAGCATAAAATGCTCCAAATGAATGGATGAACAGTCATTCCTTTGAATATCATTGGAAAAATGGTGGTGATTCCCTGCTTTTCCTTTTAGCAGGGCTCCCGCAGGGCTTCTATCCATGCAGTAATTAGTCTTTCATCCATTTAGTTTGGACAATGTTAGCACGACCCGGGACAGCTGTTTCTTACTGACTGGGTGAACAAGATATTTGCTGCAATAAATGTTCTTCTGGCCATTGCTCCACAGGTTTCATTGATTTCATCGTAAAGCCAACATTTGCTCTTCTTACTGACTCCATGGAGAAAATAGTTTTTCCTCTCATAGAGGAAGCTTCAAAATCTGGAAGTCCTACCTTCATGACAGCGCCAAGGTTTGAGGCTTTTCCTCCACTACATTTGATGATTGAAACCTGAATTAAGCTAATCTCACATCGCCTCCTTGTGACAGCATTTGCAACTGCAGTCTGTGCTGGCACAGCGACAAATGTGTGTGTGGAAAGTAAATGCAAAAAGCAGACAAAGTTGCTGCCATAAACAAATCTTTGGGGCAAGTGCACTTGGAATATTGTGCTTGGTTCTGGTTGCCTTGCCTGAAAAAGGACATTATTGAGTTGGGGAAAGTTCAGAGAAGGGCAACAAAAATGATCAGGGGGGTGGAGCAGCTCCCCTGTGAAGGGCAGCTAAGACAACTGGGACTGTTCAGCTTAGAAAGAAGTCGAGTGAGGGGAGACATGGCAGAGGTGTGTAAAAGCAGGTATTTTATTTATTTATTTATTTATTAAAACATTTTTATGCCGCCCCATTCGCCGAAGCCTCAGGGCGGCTTACAACAATAAATTAAAACATCATAAATAACATTTTAAAATATATACATTAAAATAAAATACAAATATACAATATAAAATAAGCCGCCCTGGCCTGGTATGGTGTGGAAAAAGTGAAGAGTTTTCTCCCTCTCCCATAACGCGCAAACCCAGGGTCATCCCATGAAGCTGGCTGGTGGGAGGTTTCAGACGGATAAAGAGAAGTACTTTTTCACACGACGTATAGTTAAACTATGGAATACTAAATGATGTATAGTTAAACTATGGAATTTGCTGCCACAAGAAGTGGTATTGGCTGCCAGTTCGGTTAGCTTTCAAAGGGAATTGGGCAGATTCATAGAGGAGGAGGCGATCAGTGGCTACTAGCCTTGCTGGCTATGAGCTGCCTCCTTCCTGGGAGGTGGCATGGCTATGTACACCTCTAGATGAGGAGCTTGGGCAGGCAAAGGTCTTGCACCCGCACTACTTGGGCTGGTCTGTGTTGTGTGTATGGAGAGCTGAAGTACATCATTATTATTATTATTGCATTTTTATACTGCCCATAGCCAAAGCTCTCTAGGCAGTTGGCAGCAATAATCATAGAATCATACACTCAAGTCACCCATCCCACTTCTGCCCAGGCCGGACCCTGCTTAGCTTCCAAGATGAGGCAGGATCAGGCACTTCAGGCTACATGGAAGGTCAGGTCCAACATGGCTTTTCTTATGTTCTTATGTGTTTATGTTCTGTTTTGTATCTAAATTGCTGTGTTTTTTTTAAGGGTTGATTACCAGAAGCTGCTCAAAGAAACGGATGTGATGCAGTGGCATACAAAGGCCATAAATAAAAGAATGAAACAAATCACTACATTTAAGCAACTAAAACTGATTTCTTTTCCAGGAGGGCAGGAGGCTGAATTCACAGATAATTTTCTAGGGAAAATTCTGAAGAATGATTTTTCAGTACATAGTAGTTTTTAGCTTCCCATATAAGCAAAATCCTGAATTTATTTGATTGACAATCACCATACGATTTGCAGTGTATAACAATAAATAACCTAATACTACTACTCAAGGAGACAAGCGGAATTAAGAGTCAGTAAGTGCCTTAATTCTTCCAGTTTAGTTAAAGTGTACATCTGTACAACATAAGTTGCTATAGGCCTGCAGGATAACAGTTCAGGCCAATGCATGTTTACTCAAAAGTTGACCCTGCTGCAGGCCATGTGTGGACAGGATTGCAATGTTGATTTAGGCTGGAAGCATTTGCTCATTTTCCTGAGCGTGAGCCATGCTGAACTCCATGGGGCTTCTGTCTAAGTAGATATATGTCAGACTGCACTGCCAGTGCAAAAAATAAGAGTTGCTTCCTATATCCTTCCTGCCTTCTTCCATGTATGAGCTATAACTGGCTACAATGTACAATTTATGTTGCAAAGAAGTCCTATCGTCTTGATTTTATTGGGCACATAGCTGTGATTTTTGTCCCTTCCAGGTGGATCCATCCTAATCTATTTCAAATAGACTTATTTTTCCACCTCTCTCTTTCTAGTGAGAACAGCACTGGAGGAACTGCTTCTGATGTGCAGAAAAGGATCAGCATTAAGAACGCAGCCTGTGTCGGCGGCACCTGTTCGGAGAACACCTTAGCAACTGTGGACTTAAAAAGCTTCAAGGACACCTTGTTTCAGATCATCCAGGAGAACAAAGACAGGTGGAAAGATCTGGCAGAAAAAGGCATGTTCCCCTTTGTACAAGGGCTTGTATCTGCCCCCACCTTATTGTCAAGATCACCTTGATCAGCCTTTCTCAGGGCGGTACCCTCCAGATGTGTCAGACAACAGTTCCTTTCAGGGGATAATGGGAATTATAGTCCAACTCATCTGGAAGACCCCAGATTGGGAAAGGGGGAACCAAATTGAATGACAGAGCATCTGCTTTCATTTGCATCTGTTAAGCTTGGACAGCTTCATTTCATCAATGCTGAAGGTCATGTGCATGCGGAAAAGTCATTTCATCCAGTCCAGCAATCTTGCTATATGCATAGGTTTTACTGAACCAGGACTAGCTTTCTGCAAAATTATAGACAGACTGACTGTTCACCAGGTGGAAGCTATGGCTGTATTTGTGTGTTCACACCACTAGATGGGGAAAGTTCATGTTTTGGAAGCCTTGTTGAACAGGCAATGGGAATCTGAAGTTCACATTTGAACAGCAGTTTGTCTAGTAAATGAGAACTGTCGTCTACTTCCAAATAATCAAAAGAACATCAGACGAACATCAAGGAGCACCGCCAGACCAGACATTGGGTTGCATCTAATGATAGCCTTAGTTAAGTCCCATTCATTTCAGTGAGTCTACTTTAGGTAGGACTAAGTTTGCATAGCTTCCCAAGGGTTTGGTGCCCTGAGTCCTGCAGTGGCTGAACAGATGTTTCTGAGTTCCCCAAAAGCACGGCACAGTGGCAAGAGTCCTCTGCTCCTAACCCGCTGCCTTCTCCATGGCCCCCAGAAGCAACTGCCATTCAGAGGAGCACTGCCGTGTCCTGAAAGTCTGTTTAGAGCACAATTCTATGTGTGCATTAACAGAAAGAAAGAAAAAAGTGGGAATTGTAGGAGTATGTTCTGTCTAACCGTGAACAGATTAGCTATCCTGGCTAATACCCATTCATAGATCCACCTGCATGGGTTTTCCGACCATCCCATTGCATCTTGTGTTAGCAGATTCTAAACCCTGTGGAGAACTTTCATCTGTCTTTTCTAAACTTCCATGGGGGCACCCAGCCTCTCGTAGTGAGGGCAGAAGAGCAAAAAGAGCCCTGCCTGAGGCAGGCAGAAAGATCTGCACCCTCTTTCCCCCACTCCTAGTTTCCCCCTGCATTAGTAGGGGCAGCACAGGCAATGCCTTGCTCGGAGGGCCCTTGTTTGGAGCAAAGCATTCTGGGCCAGTGCTGCCATCGCCCTGCGACAGTGGGAAATCCTGCTGAACATAGTTCTAGTCCACCTTGCCTGCAGTGCCTTGCTATGAGGAAGGGTAGGGTGGTGGAAAGGCCTCCCAGCAGCTTCCCCGTGGCTCTCCAGAGGGAGGTATTGCACCTGGAAGGCTCCCTTGGCAGCAGCTGTGACCAATGGCACAGCCTGGGAAACGTTGCTGGCCAGAGTGGCAGCACCTCCGGGCAGCGGATGGGGGCACGCAATCCACCACCCCCCAGTCTGTCACCTGGCCCTATGACAGATGACAGGCTAATGCAGCCCGTTGGCCATGCATCCGGGCTTGCCTTGTTTTAGCGCTCTTTGCAGCTTTCCAGGCAGCGCTGCAAAGCGCCCCATGCGTGTGGCACTGGGGTGCATTTGGCTGGGCGAACAACAGGTCGCACAGTCCCGTCCACAGAACAGTTCATCTCATGGTGGAGAAAAAAGCAAAGCAGATCCCCTAATGTGTGTTTTCTTCCCTCTCTGTAGAAGGCGTTGTACGAAAAATGGGTGTGCTGACAAAAGAGCCGCAGAAAGACCAGAGCAAACATGCCCCAGACCCACAATTAGAGGAGGGGGCTGCAGAGGCACCAAGTGGGAAAAATCAGGGAAGCAGTGATGAGACACCCTTGTCCATAGACTTGTCCCGTCCATCCGTAGCTCTTCGAGTGCCCTCTCTCAGTTCTGTGTCCAAAGCACCCATCTCCGAGACTGCGCCAAAGCTCTCCTTGAGTGCCAAAGGAGCTGTGGACGTGCAGCAGGAAGCGCAACCCAGTGTCCCACTCAATGGTAAATACTGCGCCACAAAGCACTGAGCAGATGACGTGTTCATGGTTGGGTTCCACCACCGCGCATTTCCCATCCCGCCAGAGCCATGGCTGGTGAGCAGAAGGGAGGGCTCCTTACACACTGTGGGTTTTATTCTGAGCTCTGTGGGAGCGCTCTGCAGTGGCAAAACTATTTGGGGAACGGGATTCAGCTGCATGGTTAGCTCCTTGAAAGCTCCAAATAAAAGGTGTAATGGATAAGGAGCCCCACTGAACTAAGTCACCTGCCACTAATGTATAGAAAAGTAATGAGATCAGCTTAGGTCTGGTAGTCAAGGCAGATCCCTGGGCAAAGAATTCTTTCATTCTGAGGATATGTCTGTTGTGCCAGGCTCCAGTTGGTGGATCTTGGGTTCATAATAACAATAAAGATATAGATACAGATAAAGAACTAAGTGAAGCTATCAGGTGACTAAGTGAAACGTCTTTGTTCAAGCTTCCCATCCTGTGTGTCTGGATACAGCAAAGTCTCGTATGCTTCAGAGCTCTGATGGAGGCGCATTTTGCTACCTGCGAAGGCTCCCCATGCATTTCAGCCAAGGAAGCTGACCCTCATCAATGCAGGCAGACCAGTTCCTTCTGTTGGAAGGACGGGAGCCACCAGGCCTTCCAGAGCAAAATGGGCATCCCAGTGCACAGCCTGGGCTGAGGGTGTGTTTTTTCGGCAGGCCACGTTACATCCTCTTCCCATACTGACTTCAAAAGGCATACACACAAAGAATTGCTGAAATAAAAACCCAAGAAAAGCGCCAGTTACCAAGCATATCTGTCAACACCCAAATGCACATCTCCACCTGCATTGCAGTACTCATCCACTCAAGAAGGTGGATGCATCTTTTGATGTGCCTTGGGAGAGACATTCCCACTTGGGGCCACTGGTTTGTACAGGTGACTTGTTGCCCATGACTAGAATTGAACAGGGCTTTGGTTTTTCAAATTGTGATGAAGCACTGGGGGAGCATATGAGAGGGATGAGAGGGCTGCACCTCCAGTGCAGTTGCACCCATGTCCCCTCAGAAGTGCAGTGCCGCTGAATGGAAGGAGACTTACTCCCAGCAAATGTGGGCAGGGATTGCCCTCTAATGCTATTTCAGCAGAAGCTCTGGTGTCAGCTGTAGGTCGAGGCAGCTGAGAACTAATGTTAACCTTTTCTAAGCAAGCAGGAATGGCCGGGGTTTTTTCTGGCTGAATAATTCTCTTCCCATTAGCACAGCCCTTTCCATTCATTGCGGCACTTAATATCATCTGATCCCCACGGGCCAAGCCATTTGTGCTAAAAATAAGGAACAGGTTCCACTGCTAATTTGGCTTTGTTCTAAGGAGAGGCATCCCAATCTGAGAAGTGGCTGGAGAAAATTTCATTAACATGGAAGGTTACTGCTCTTGTATGGAGTGGGAGACAGGAATAGTTGAAAGTCCCTTGATAATCAGCTGTGATAATGAGCTTGGAATAAAGCTAATGAAGCCAAATGCAGGATGCATTCTGTTGGGGATGTAAAACCATATCTGCAGTCTATGGGGAACATGCTGTTTGTCAATGGAAAGCGGCTCTTTGTGCTGTTGCTAATATTCGAATACAAAAATTAGCTTAAGGTTGGAAACTGAGAGTGCGAATCCTGAGCATGATTTCTGGCCAGCCTTGAGCCTACTTAGATTGTCCCCTCACACGTGGGAAGAAGCCCCACTCAACTCACTGGGGCTGGCCTGGAGTGGAGGAGAATCAAGTGTGTTTAGCCGTGGAGGAACGAGGCCCATTTCTTTCTGAGGGGATTCCTCAAATGCTTTGTGTCCGTGGAGCCACCTCTCTTCCACCCTCTGTCCTCTCAGCTCTCTAAGGGAGGGTGGAGGAGAGTTGGTGCCTGGCCCGAGGTCCCTCACGGAGCTTGTCCCGAAGGCAGCCAGGGGCAGTTTCAGCCTCAGCCTCGTGCTTGCAGGCCAGCACTCTGAGCCACACTGGCTGCAGAGTGACCCACTAATAGGAAGCGTGTATGGGCGCCACCTGTCTTTAAGGGATTGTGTTTTTCCTTCCAGGAGAGGGTAAACTCAGTGAGAGCTCGGAAGAGCCCCTGGCAGAGCCGAAGGCAGTCGTTCTGCGCAACTAGATGTGCCGCATCGCCCCAGTTCCTTCTGGTTCGAGATGAGAGGTGACTTTTCTTTGTGCTTCTTCCCCAAAAGCAGTGCCCTGCAAGGGCGGGTTTTGCTTCTTCCTGAGGCCGAAATGCTTGCCTTGCTTGCAGGACACTCCAGTTCACATCTACTCTTATACCTGAGGCTCGCACCCTGGTACCTGGGAATAAGCCCCATTGAATTGAATGGGTCTCTCTCTCCGGAAAGAGGGCCTCCGTGTGCAGAGCCTTAAGGCTGCACCATCCCTGGCCGTAGCCCTGGAAGTTGTCGGCCTGGTTCTGTCAACCTGGCTCAGGACTGCATCTTTAGGAAGCACGTAGCCATTTAGAAGGATGGTGGGCATTTCTCCACTGACAGCAGTGACATTTTTCTTGACCAGCGATCTTGACGCTGCTTGGAAGTGAGGTGGAAGGGTTCCTCCCTCCCTCCCTCTCCTCAAAATGTGTCTGGATCATGGCACAACGTTGTACTCATTTGCAGTGACAGGGGAGCGTCTTGGAGAAAAGGAAGTCCCAAAACTGGAGAGCAGTTATGAAGTGCTCTGGATAAAGACCTCACCGGTCTTGGCCACGGGGACCACTGAAGCCATTGGCAGTGGTTCGGGCTGTGGCATTGACCTGTCATGCCGCTGAACTGCACTTCCAATCACCCCCAGCCAGCCTGGCTAATAGAAAGGAATTATGGGCATTGTAATTCAGCAACTTCTGGGTCCCCATCCCAGCTTCACAGAAGGGGGTAAAAGAATTAGGGATTTTGAATGGAAACAGTATCTAGATGAAGATAAAGCGCAAGCCAGCTTAATAGATATAATAGGCTAAATGTGAGCTTTGTATGGCGGGGCAGAGGTAAGCTTTGATGTATAGCCAAAACTGCAGGCAGCTGCATTGATCCATAGTCCCAGCAGCGCAGGGCTTTCCAAGAGTGAATGGCTCTTGGTTGCCCATTCAAGGCCAAGCCGCACCAAAGTCTTTCATGTTGCACCAGGGAAACTTCTCAGCAGCATTTTGTTGAGGGAAAGAACTAAGAACAGAAGGGACATGGAAGCCCGAGGTGAGTGTCCCCACTATTCAAAACCTTGCGGAGCATTGACCCAGCAGGCCCCGGCTCCTCTGCCCCACATCCATTAGGGTCACACGTACAGGGAGAGGCTACAGGGCCGGGCAGGCATCCTTCCTCAGGTCCTGTGGCTCTTCCCAGCACTTGAGGAATTGAAAGGCAACATCTGCAGCAGGAGCCTGTTCTCCCTTGCAGGAACCTTGCGTGATTTACAGCTTTGCTCCGCCAAGGCTCTAACCATGCCAGGAACAACCGCCAGAATTACGTCTCTCATGGGGAAACATGTGGCCGGGGGCAGCCCTAGATGCATGTCCGTCCCAGGCCATGTTGAGGGCGGGTTCCTCCCTCTGAGCTCAGTGTGAGTGGTCATTTTTGTTCTTCCATATTTCTTCCAAGTTTGGGGCTCTCTGCCAGCATGCTGATACCGCCCCCCTCCACATGCAGGGCAGTGCCGCTGGGGTTGCAGCGCTCAAAGCATGCGTCTGCCCTGCATATATGTGTGTGTGTGGGGGGGTGCATTTTTGTATTGGGAATTTCACCAAAACAAGAATAAAGAAGTGCACGCATGAAAGGAAAAACAAGGGAAGCCCCTCCGAAATGAACAGATGCTGTTGTGCAAATATCTATATAAAGCACAGATCCAAACGTATATACAAAGCCACTGCCACCGCCTGAAGTTTCGTTGGCTGCTGGAGCAGGGGATGCAATCAGTTTCCAAGGCTTTCAGGAGCTCGGTTTGTAGGGAAAAGGAGAAGAAGGTGGGTATTTCTCCATTTCTTTTGCCTGCTGCTGCTTGCCCCAAATGATCTGAGACAGGAAAGCTTCCCACCCTCCACCACCACCTCCCAGAGGTCACCTCTTTTCTAGGAGGAAAGGGGAGCAGAGGGCAAATTTAGAAAAGCAGCCCTGGCTCAACCCCTCTTGAAGCAGTGAAGGTCCTCAGCGTTAGGTAAAAAGGTGAAGAGTTAACGAAGAGGAGGATCTTGTGCTGGCAAAAGGACTGGGCTTATCCATTTCTGCTCATCTTCCGCAGTCGAACTTGGTGGGTCTTGGTAAGATGAGGGGTCCGCTCACATGACATGAGGGTGGAGGATAAGCCAGCATGACTTGCAAACCTCCTCGGCGCAGGCTGGCCCGATTTCCCTTCTCACACTTGACTGGTGCAGTTTGTCATGGCATGCAAACATTTGGGGTCATTTCAGGGTATTTTATAAACTATGGCAAATGCACCCTCTGGGTAGATTTAGGCATCATGGGAACACCTGCCTGGTGAGGGTGAGAATTCTAATCAGGTAACCCATGAATGAGGGAAAGGAAAGCATCAGCAATCATTTCTCCTGGGCCAGATGCAAAAGTAATTTTGACACCAGAAAACTTGCTGTATTATCATTCATCCCTGAACCTCTCACAAAGTTTGCAAAGTTTACATTGACCCTTCCGCTTGTTGCCAATCAAAAAACCAAGCGATCACTGAGCCGGTTTTCCTGGCCTTACTAGGGTAGCCTTTCATGTAATGTTCATGTTTCAAAAAATCCATCCATAAATACCAAGAGATGCTACTAGGAAGACAGCAGGCCCTGCTCCCCTTTAAGCACAGCACATTCAGCGATGCTCCAAATGCTCACTTGCACTGCTCTCCAGTTTCATGCAGCGGCATCTCCCAGTCACTGCTCGACTTTCCTTTGCTTGCAGGATGAAACCAAACAGCACGAAAGCATCTTCCTTTTCCACGAGGCGGCTCCCTTCTCCGTCAAATCATCCTCAGACCATCCTGTCTATATGTGCAGCGGGTGGATACAAATGTTGGCATTAAGTACCACAAAGCCCTGAGCTGGTAACTCAAGGCACATGAAGCAGCACTTGACCTTCGGAGTTGTGTTACCTCTTATTCCGTTTTGTCCTCCCTAGCTGAAGTGGAGCGCATTTTCTGCCGCCACCCCCCCCCCGCCTTCGCCGCCCTCCATTATAGACAACAAATCCAATCACTACCATACGCGCTGCCTGTCAGAGACCTCTTGGAGGCCTGATCTCCCTTGTGGGGCAGGAGAAGTACCTGCAGCCTCTTGCAGCCTTCTGTTTTGCAGCCCAGATGCACAGTGGCAGGGAGCCACAGCTGTCCACACCGCGGCAGTTTGAACAAGCGGATGTTTGTGGAGGAGCCCCACTGACAAAAGCCGAGCCCGGGAGTTGCAGAACGCCTCTGGAACGGGTCGTGAAGGCATTGCTGACATCGCGCCCTTTTGTAGTGGAAGTCTCACCCTGTTACTGAATCTGCCAATCCTTCTGAAGGAAGAACCACCACCATTTGTTTCAAGCCAGTGAAATGATAGCAGGTCCGGCTGTACAGCAAGATCCAAACGCTTCCCTTCCGTTGGGCTCTAGGAAGAAGCTGTAGCCTTTTGGCTAAGCATGTGCTTTGCATGCAGAAGAGCTCAGATTTAATCCTTGGCGGTTAATCAAGACCTTCGGTGGTGGGGGCTGCGCAAGGTCTCCACCTGTCCTGGGGGTGTTCCCACTCAGAGGGGCTCGCAGCACTGCCCGGGCTTCCCTACCTGAGTTGTTGATGGTGCACTTGCATTCCCTCACTCACAGAAGTCTACAGGTCCTTTTTCGCACCCCAAGGCCTCTCCATTGTGTTTTCTAGCCATTTTTGCAGCTTCCCCCCTCCCCCTTTGAAGTGAGGGAAGTTAGTGGTTTTCCTGGATGCCTGATGCATTTGCTGCAGAAGCCTAGCGTGACTTTGCAGTTCCACTCTGTGCCGCAGTGCCACCTTGTGTTGTACAATGAATGCAACTTACAGAAAGGCAGGGCAGAAAACCTCACGGGTGGGGGGAAGCTTCCTGGGAAAGAGGCTCTTGTCCTCCCACAGCCTTGGTGAAGCACCGGTTCAACACCCCACACAGAGTTGGAAGGCATTGTGCAGTGGTTCCTTCTTCTGCTGCTCTTCTTTGATAAGAAAAGAGCAGTGGAGGGAGAGCATGGGAGACTTACGGGCAGAAGAGGATGAAGCTGGGACCTTCTTAAAATCCCAGGACTGAGGAAGGGCGAGGATGCAGTGAAGCCTCCCCTGGAAGGCATCCTTGGAGAGATGCTGCCATCGGAATGAACAGTCCAGTCCAGCTAAACAGACCACTGGGTTGGCTCTGCATGACTGCTTCTTCTCGTTCTTCATGCTCCTGGGCATGCCATGGCAGTGTCTCACATCTTCTAGATGAAAGGCCTGCTGATTATTTGGGTGCATGGCCTTAACTTGCTCAGAAGCTTAGGCTGCAGGGACTGTGGAGGAAGCGGTTCACTGCGGGTTTATCCTTGTGCTGTGGGTGGTACTGAGGCTGCCGTGGTGTCAAAGGCAGTTCTGCACTGCTACCGTGTTTCCTCCTGCTCGGCTTCCCTGTTTGTGAGCAGGGTTTATTCCACACTATCAGGGATGGCATAAGAGAATACCAAGAACTCGTAACTCACATCTGTTGCCGTGAAAGCCATATATGAGCTGCGCTTATTTAATCTGAGTTATTTAAGACAATTGTTTGATGGGTGTATTTTAAGAATATTTTCTGTGAATAAGGGCCGAAGCTTGTATTTAGCATGGGCTTTCTGTACCGTGCAGTAAACTAATGACATTTTAAAGAATAAACTGTATGATACACTGCATAATGCAACATAGTTTTGCTAAGTCTCTCTCTCTCTCTCTCTCTCTCTCTCTCTCTCTCTCTCTCTCTCTCTCTCTCTCTCTCTCTCTCTCTCTCTGGATGTGTATACCTATGTGCACACATACTGCTACTTCCAGGTAGCACCAAGAATGGGGATTGCTCACCACATCTTCATGCTCTTACAGAATTGCTTTCCCACCCCAAGCCGTCACAGAGTCTGGCTTGCTTCTGAAAGGCATGTGAGAGATTCATTGCCATGTCCATATATTTTGGGCCTCGCCCAAGGTATTTCTCAGGAAAACACCCCAGACTGCCCTGGTCTGGAGCCCTCTGTACAAACCGATGTATCCATGTATCGACTCCCTCCCGAAATGAAAGGAAAAGGCTTGACGGCCAGGAGCTCTCCGCACATGCAAAGAATCCCATGTGCCTGTGCAGCAAGTCCCTAACCAAGAGCACTGACTCTGGGGCAGCTTTGTTTCAGGGGGTTTAAGAGATGGGACTGAACCCTGGTGCCTGCTTTCTGCAATGCTACAGCTTTCTGGCTTTCCAAGAGAATCAGTATATGGAGGATATACAGAGTTGGGCCAAGATCTGAAGAGATCCAGGACAGGATATTGTCGCTGGAAATTGGGAAGCAGGATTTGCTGATACGTTTGTCTTTGTATGAGGCCTACACATACTGGAACCTGCTGCTTGGAAATGATGCAGAGTGGCTTTCCCGGACGGACTACAGCATCCGGAGCACCTGCCCACATCAACGGACAACTGCGTAATTCCAGGCTCTGGCCTTCACTGGCTTGCAGGGCCCCGTTCAGTTGCTGTGTTTTGCTTCGCTTCCTTCAAAATCCGCCCAGCCAGACTTGCTCTAATTGTGGATCCTGCACACGTGCACAGCCTTTTGGCCTTGAGGGTCACATCCAGGGGACACTAGGGGCACTCTGTGGGTGCACACGCACTCATGCATGCACACACACACAACCACACACTTTCCCACCAAGCATACAAATCACAGCTTAATTCTTTGCACGCCTATTTATGCATAAGCCCCAGTGCAACACGTTTCACGTATACAAAGTGCCATATTTGGCTTTATTTCCTGTTAAGGAAGGAAGATCCTATTCTCATTTCCGAGCAGGGCTAGGAGAGAGGAGTGGTTTAAATCATGTTATGTTTGAATCTTTTAAAATTGCTTTATAATTCAAAATAAGTTTTTAATTCCCTGCTCTTAAAAACCCTTTACACTTGAAAGGGCAGGGCATTTAAAGTTTAAATGCCTCTAAATTGCTCTTCTTTCCAATCATAGGGTGTTTTACTGCTTAGCCATGAAGAAGCCGCTCCCTCTGGTGATCCTTGTCTCTTTTGCTACTCTTGCTGATCGTGGCAGTCTGAGCAGCGGGGCTGTGGGAAGAAGTGGCCCAGCTGAAGCCCCCCTCGCCCCTGTTCCACTGAGCAGGGCCTCCGACTGTAGCCCCACCACCGTGCTCTGCCGGCACCACTGAAATTGGGATCAGTCGAGTGTGATTCTGCCCCCACTTCACACTGTCCCTACTTAGCATGTGCTGAGAAAGGGAAAGGGACCTAGTCATGTTTTTAGTTTCCCAGAGACAGCAGTAGATAAACAAGTTACTCATCTGTAATCGCTGCTCATTTACACAGTAGGAATGGGTGCTGAGGAAGTTTAGCTCAAGTCCAGCTCTTCTGGCAGAGGAAATGTATTAATCCTGCTCTGTCTGGCATGACGTGCTTTTGAGAGTTTGCTTCACACTGCACATTGCCTTAGTCTGAAACCATGCTTAGGTCTGCTGATCCAACCCAGGTTGAGAATACTGGAAGGTTTGTTTGAAAACATGCAAAACGGGAGTGGCAAATTCTCCACAAAGCCCCCAAACAAACCCAGCTGCAGCCCACATGGAAGGGTACTCTTCCCATAATTCTTTGGGGAAAGCAATGTCAACTGAGGCCGGAGACAAACAGTATCACAATGCTCAGGGCCTCACGGGATTGTGTCATTAAGTGTTCCACAAGGGCCTCATGGAAAGCAAAGTCTATATTAATACAAGGAACTGTGGAAAAGGTAGAATTTCAACATTTATTTTGTATTTTTATCTTGAGATATCTGGTGTACTCTGTAACATAATCATGGAGTATAATGCTGGCATTTTAAAATTATAATTTTCAGTGTTGCAACCATGATGGGATGTAGGGGGAATGGTATTTTTCTGCCATACTTGCCTGTAATGGCTAAAATATTACATTGAAAGGCAATGTTTGTAAAATATTGACATTCTTTGGCTTGTAATTAAAACAATTGGGTCACTGCATTCAACCGTGTTTGGCAAAATTGATGTGCTATATAGAAAATGCCATTGGGCTTTATGGGTTCTAATGCAGTGATTTCACCTATGTCCCCCTCTTCTTCCTTTCTCTCCTTTTATGGAAAAGATACACCTTTGTGCAGCTTTCAGAGCTCTTCCTCCTTCATGCAATGTGTCACCATGAAGATACAAAATTGAGGGTGTTATTCCCTGATCTTCACTTTGAGATCAGCTGAAACAGTTATAACATCTAATATCATCTAGAGGCAGGGATTGTTCTTAAAGATGGCCCCAAGCCATTTCCCTTTAGACCAGCACACTTTTCTTTTGCCACGCTGCCATTTCTGCTCAAGCAGGGATCTCGAGGCGCTACTAAACCAGGCGCAACCTGTGAGTGGAGATGGTGGTGGGGCGTGTGCACTCACCCCGCGCAATGACAGCTCTGTTGTCCTATTTCCCACTCTCCAAAGCAGGGGTGGGCAATTAATTTTCCTATGGGGCCACATGAGAATCTTTGACAGTTGTTAAGGGCCGGACCAATACACTTAGAGCTCTGCTCAATATATCTCTCTATAAAAACAATAAATGAAACATTACAATGATACAATGAAAATGTGGAGCATAGAACAACACTATTTAATGAATATTCACAGAAACATTAACATTACATGAAAAGCAATAAATTCAATTCAATTTAGCAGATCCTTCAAAATAAAAGCAGAGCAGTTGTATTGCTTGCATCTATATTACGATGATATATATTTGCATTGACTTTTAATTTGCCAGTGACCTCATGTGGGCCAGTCAGGGTCAGCCATCGGGCCGGATGTGGCCCGCGGGCCGTACAATGCCCAGGTCTGCTCCAAAGGGTGCACGTGAGTGGTAGCACAGTCTGTCTCCAATTCTGTTTCTGCCTCCTGCATCAATAACATGGCAAATTCCTACTACACACACCCAAGATGATAAGGAACTGTATGATTGCTTTGCATAAACCTTCCTCCCTCCCTCCCTCCCTCCCTCCCTTTCACGGAAGAGAAGGCTTTCAACGACTGCTAGTTCTGAAGGAATTCTGCTTCCTCCAGGATCAGTGCTTATGTCCTTGCTGGGGAACACGGTCGGGAAGGTGTTGCTGCACCCATATTCCCCTTGCGGATCCCTTGCAGGCAGTTCTTTAGCCACCGTGTGAGCAGATTGCTGCACCAGGTGGACCTGGGTCCACACCTTAACTTCAAAAGATGCTCCAAGAGATGCCACCGCATTGATGACCCTTCCCCACACAAACTATCTGGCTACTCTTCAATTATTCTCAGGTTCATTTTGCCAATGAAACATTAGCATGAGGATAAAAAGACGCAAGCATGGTAACTCTTCTGTTCACTTGCCAGAGTCCATGATGCAAATAGCACTTGCTCAGAATTTATAGCAACGATTTCATTTAAGGCCACCATTATAAAGGGAGCCGCAAACATGAGTCTGGGGATCTCACCTGTCACTAACTTGTCGCAAGGACCGTGCAGGAGAAAGGCCTGTATCTGAATCCTACGGGAGCAGAGGGTGTTGCTTTCGGTGGTATGCATGCCTGCAGCACAGTGCTGAGTTCTGCACAAAGAGACCGTTCCAGAGAGTCCTGTAGAAGACCAGTAATGCCTTCTAAAGCTCCATATTTCTGCACAGACTCACACAGAGGCATTCTCAAAGGCTGCCCCTGACCTCTGGAATTCTCTTCTTAAAAGGCAAGTGGGGGGACCAGAGGGCTGGGGCCAACATTGCAAAAACGTTCCACCCGATTTTAGAGTAAAGCTTAGGAGATGTAGTCCAACTTTTCGAATTTGGGCCGCACACTAGCCGAGACCCCACCAAAGGATTGGTGGTCATGGGAAAAGCAGGGAGACCGGGGCTAGATCCATCTGAGGAGCCCCGGAGGGTCAAAGAGGGACCTCAAGTGGGCAGGCTTTGGTCCCAGGACCTGGGTTCTGCAGTCCTGCTTAATGTACAGGCATCACATCCAAGACTGGAGTGCATGGATGAAATTGGGCAGAATGGCCTTTCAACTCGCGGGCCTTTTTGTAAAATGCCTGGAACCATCGAGCTTCTACAGCTGAAAAGAAGGAGCTTCAAGTTGGTCATTCGGTTCGGTCCAGAGGTGCCTTGTGTTTTATTGCAGGAGTTTGTTCAGACAGACAACACGAGTGGAAGCTGGCTTGGTTTTGACTGCAGCCAGATGACATCGGCTTTAATCCTTAGTAGTGCAACTTAATGAGATTATGCAGAGGGCTGCCGCTTTCATCGCTGTTCCATGTTTTACTTAAACGTCGTCTGTTTGGGCTCTCGCTAGAAGCTAATGACATTCTCAGTGTCATTTCTTACTTTGATGAGTCCTTTAAAATGTAAAAGACATTGTTCGTCGCTGACATCTCTAAGCTGCAGGAAGAGTTTTCTCTCCCAGGGATGCTGTTCGTTCTGTTCACTGCCTTGACAGAACACCCTCCGCACTCTGCAGAAGAGCACTTCGCCTTCGCCAAATAATGAACAGCAATTTGCAATATCGGCTCGGTTGTGCACCACGTGAAGGCATATAACATTGCCCATAGGCCCAGTTACTTTTTTTAAAATCCCCCCCAATAATTAATTGCCTCATAAAA